CAGCTTCCAAGTTTTTAGGCGATTCCGATCACGTCTCATCGCATTCCGACTGGCCTGTCATGCACGCTGCAGCCGTTGCCGCCTTGTGTAGCGATCAGGTTGCGCCTGTTGATCTCTCCTCGCTGCACTATATCTCTATCCTTGATGCTCACACGGCAACCACTGTCCTCCAGTCTCCGCTAGCACAGGAGCTGGCCGACGTACAGCAGCGCGTCAACAAGGCACTGGCAGATCGCTTCAGTGTTACTGTAAAGGAGACCAGCTTGAGGAAGCTGCGGTGCACCTCGGACCTATGGTCCGTTGGCATGGCGGAGCTTGGTGGTCCGGACATGTCTCAGCGTCTTTATGATCTCTCCTACAATCATGCCGGTGCATGGCCATCCGTGAAGGAACTATGCAAGTGGTGTGTTGGGCAGTCCAACCACACTTTTATTGCCATTCTGACTGCCCTGCTTAGCTCTCAGATTCGCAACATACCGGAGTCCAAACTGTTGAAAATGCGGCAGATCCGCAGTTCGCTGGAGAGCGAGCTCGAGCAATTGATCGGAGAGAATGGCGTGCTCATCTTCCCGTCGCATCCCACGCTAGCCCCGTATCACAACTACCCGCTGATAACGCCAATGAACTACGCTTACACGGCCTTGTTCAACCTGACCGGTATGCCCGTGACACAGTGCCCGCTGGGACTGAGCGCCGACGGTCGGCCACTTGGCGTTCAGATCGTATCACTGCAGGGCAACGATCGCATCACCATTGCCGTTGGCCAGTTCCTGCAAGAGGCGTTCGGCGGCTGGTCGCCACCAGGTGGCGTCTAGTTTTACTACTGATTTATTAAGTAGCTGCATTTCCATTACCCACACACTTGATTGGCAGGCCCAGGCTGTGCCTTGAAAGGTTTTTTCCTATGCTTGCATGGCTTCATACTGTTCACTGCGCTTCGAAGAAGTATCACTAAATTTATTCTACTTTTTGAAGTACCAAATTTATTTTTAACTCTATTCCATAAAATCCCCGAGCTTGTATATTATTTACCCCTCGTCTCAAACTAGGCTGCCAAAGTTTTGCAGGAGAGCTCTGCCTGTGTCTACCGTGCATATTTGAGCATAAGTTAACATGTACATGTACCACTCCGTCCTGCTCCTTGGTGCTGGTCACTCAGAATGATAGCCGTGGACAGCCATCATTCTCTTCTTTTGTTCTGCCTTCTCTCGCTTTAGCTACTTTAATTATGTCATGTTTGTTCTGGATTCAGCTGACCCTCTTCAATCCTCTCTCTCTCTCTCTCTCTCTCTCTCTCTCTCTCTCTCTCTCTCCTTAGTGCCTGCTGGTTTTGAGAAAAGAGATTGCTAGTTTTACTTTCCCCTTTTGTCTGGTCTGATTCTTTCCTGCTCGACAGTTGATTAGGCGTATTGCTGCAGCCGTGGTGCATATACCAATGTTTTGGTGAGGGCTCAATGTCTGCCTCAACCACTGTTTATCTGGTGTGCTGTACTGCAAATTATTATTATTTTTGCAATTTTATGGTGGATCGTGCATGCAGCTCATACGGCTCCTCTGTACCTCCTTCTACCCATGTCACCATGACTCTCAGTCTGCATGAATGGTACCGGTAAGCATTTTTGGGGCGTGTAAATGTGTGAATGTATCCCCAACTCCATGCGCACGCATCCTAACGTGCGTGTTATATAAGGATATCCGTTCACTGAGTCCGCCCATCTGCATGAAGGTCACATTACAGGTGCAGTGGAAAGCTTGTGGTGCTGCACAGGATTACATGTAAGTTGCAACGCCCGCCAATACGCAGTACAGTGCCGATTACAGGACAGTACCCGCATCTGCACTCGGGGGGGGGGGGGGGGGTTCGGTGAGTCGAGGAGAATGTTCTGATAAGGGAGAACTCGCATAGTCCATCTAAACACATGCACATTCACTCGGGGCTCATGTGTTCATCATTAATTTTCTTTCTTTTTCTTTCTTTCTTCCTTTCTTTTTACTACAGGAGCTGCATAGACACACTCTACAAAACGACACCATGGTGAATTATTATTAATTTTTTGGACTCCAACAAGTTGCAGAAACACACCTGCACAGTGGGAGCAAGGCTCGATACTGGCAAATGCTGATACACTGTAATCATTAAAATTTCGACAACACCATGTTTTCGTCTGATTGACCCGCCAATACGGCCAGCAAAATTGCCTACAACAGATGAATCTGGCCAACTACAGTCAGACCTCGCTTATCCGGTCCTCGTTTATCCGGATCCCTCGCCATCCGGAAGAAAATCGCTGGTTACCGATGTGCAGCATATGTGATGCATACAACATAGCCGGACCTCGCGATCCGCATACCGGTGCATGATTTTGTGTACAAACCAGTTAAAATGTGTACAAAAAGCTTCGTCATATCCGGTTGCATGTGGCTTGCAGAAGCTAGAATCAGGGAGTTGTACAGGCAAATGAGGTCCTTGACCTGCTGGGTGCATGTGGACAGCACTTAGTTGCATGCACTTGTCATTTTTCTCGCTCGTTTTACATACTGTGCACGCTTGTTGTACTGCATAGGACCCGTCTACATGTATGTACGATGTCACTGCATATGACATGCCACATGCATATACAGTATGTGTGTTCAGTTATCCGGTTCCCTCGCCTATCCGGACATTTTTGTGGAAAACAGATGTGTGCGGTTAAGCGAGGTCTGACTGTATACCCTCACCTTACAAATACATCATCACACCCATAGATACTTGTCATAACAACGGTAGAAGATAGTATACAAGCAGCGCCTTAGAATATAACACTTCTGAAGGTTAAAGTAAATAGCTGGCATAAAAGGCTGGTTTGAGCCCAGAATAGACAAACACACTTTCACGATACACTCTACATAATATAGACAGGATAAAAATAGAATGAATAAAAGTTGAATAGACCGGAAGGGGTGGGGGTTGATAGTACAAGATAGTCTACGTCGCATGATAAAAAAAGTTCTAAACTCAGCATCGGAACTGGTGTGATGTGATCCGGGTGTACGTGCGTGCAAGTGTGTGTGTGTGTGCGTGCGCGCGCGCATGTGTGTGTATAAACCATAGCTTGTGACTCACTGTCTTCACATTGCCACACGATTGCCTCACCAAACAGAGAAGACTATACCTACTGAATGTAACCTGAAAACACAGGGTTGATAGCTTGATGCCGAACACATGAACACATTTAAAATACACACACAGTGCCCTGCGCACATGTACATGGACTTCAAAGAAGGATGTTCTAGTGTTCGCATTATATATGGTGAGTCAGAGAGCTGGAGATCATGCTGTACATGTCCTGTCACCAATAACTTCTCCAGTCCGTTGCTGAGGAGTAATTCGCACCGATACCAGACCACTGGCTTGTTGTTTTAGCACTTTCTTTACTGACTGCACTTCTGCTGCTGTGCCTGGACATCAATTGTATTTTTTGAATTTGTATTTATGGATTCCCCAGAGGTCTTAGCAAGAGTACATAACTCTTGGTCTTAGGCTAAATCGAGGGAGTCTCCGTCATCATCAGCTGGAAGTGACGTCAGGTGATGCAGTTGCAGCTTGTATGAGGTCAGCTGGTGCAGTCGCAGCTTGTGTGAGGTCAGCTGATGCAGTCGCAGCTGAATGTGGCTGTGGTGCAGTCGCAGCTTGTGTGGGGTCAGCGAGTGCAGTCGTAGCTTGTGTGGAGTCAGCTGGTGCAGTCGCAGCTTGTGTGGGGTCAGCTGGTGCAGTCGCAGCTTGTGTGGGATCAGCTGGTGTAGTCGCAGCTTGTGTGAGGTCAGCTGGTGCAGTCGTAGCTTGTGTGGGGTCAGCTGGTGCAGTCACAGGTTGTGTTGGGTCAGCTGGTGCAGTCACAGCTTGTGTGGGATCAGCTGGTGCAGTCGCAGCTTGTGTGGGGTCAGCTGGTGCAGTCGCAGCTTGTGTGGGGTCAGCTGGTGCAGCCAGACAAGGTGGCCGTGGTATAGTAGCAATTTCAATTTCTTTCTCGCAATGTGGACAAACTTGAGGTGACTGGACAGGCATAACACGTTCTACATCCTGTATAAAGTTCTTTAGTTCAGATATGGTGTTCTTCAATAGGCCTACTTCTTTCTTCGTTGAATCCTGAAGGAATCGCATTGCATCAAGCTGGATACAAAAAAAAAGATAGAGAGAGAGAGAGGGAGGGAAAGAGTGATTGTGTGTACATATGTGTGTGTGTGTGTGTGTGCGCGTGTGTGCATGGGTGCGTGTGTGTGTGTGTGTGCCAGCTAGTTCGGTTGGTGGGTAGACTTATGCCTGATTGTGTTAGGTCTGTTGCGAACGAGCTTGGCTGCTTGAAGGTGTAATGCTGTACCAGCCACCTTTGTTGGTTCCAGGGTTCATAATTATACTTTCTATTCGAAGTACTTGTACATGTATACATACCTGTTAACCAAGGACTGCTTCTGGCTAGATTAACTCTTGTGTAATCACTGGTGATAGTGAAGTTTATATCAGATCCACTCTAATTTAGCCACCCACACTAGTAGCAAGTATTACCTTCACGGGGGGGGGGGGGGGGGGGGGCAGGGGTAATTGCATTTGGATCCTGGACGGATACCCTGATGCCGTCAATCCTTTTCCTGCACCTTGTCCTCACCCACTTACTGAGGTGTGGTGAGCCCAAAAGTGGGATCATTTTCAAGTCCACCCAGAGTTTTGGGGATTTCAGGGGGTGTCGGCCGTTGGGCGGTTCAATAGCCAATTGAGTCATCTCTCCAAGATTCCTTTCGAGGCTCTCTCCCGGGGAGACCCACGTGACCAGTTTTGGCAATGAGCAACAAGCACAAGGACAACAAGTGTGTGTGTGTGTGTAAAGGGAGGGTGGAGGGGACCACACAACACTGGAAAAATGAGAACATGCAGAACACAAAGCAACGTACAATTACGCATAGAGTGCTTACAAATTTGGCTAGATCCGCGGGGCACTGCTGAAATATTTTCTTTTCGCCGTCGATCTCCATTTTGTACACAACCTTTACATTGTCCTCTGGAGCTAATGAATCAAAGCAAAAGCACAATTGCACTGCACATTGTTAGTCCATTGGGGCAAGGGAGGAATTAAAAACTATAGTTGTAGTACAGTATCAAAAATTTAAACATGATCCACCCAGCACAGATACTAAATAGATATGCTGAGAAACGAGAGCTGAAGAAAAGGGACATCCGAGCACTGGACAAAAACTCTCCTCCCGTCACAAGACGGCTTTCCACGTGTTGGCATGAGTTTAAACCCTAAAAATAAGTTCACCAAGCCATTTCGCTGTCCATCCGTACCTCGATGTATTCTCGAGAGGTTGTCCGCATGCATCGTGCAAAGTCTCTCCATCATCAAGTGATGCTCTCGCTGAGCCTTTAAGGCATCATTCACGGTTGAGCCTTCGAACTCCCTTGCAGCCTCTCCCATAAGAACTGCACGCAAACAAACAACGCAATATACAGTTGGTCTATCCGTATTGTGATAACACCCTTGTAACAGTATTTCTGCATTCAACCCAATACCAGGACATTATACTTGACGTATCACTACTAGTATGTTTACATCAATTGTACCAAGAGTACATGACCTCGTATCCATTGCCGAAGTGGAAAATATATCCCATCTCTCTCCCCCTCCCCCCTCTCTCTCTCTCTCTCTCTCTCTCTCTCTCTCTCTCTCTCTCTCTCTCTCTCTCTCTCTCTCTCTCTCTCTCTCTCTCTCTCTCTCTCTCTCTCTCCCTCTCTCTCTCTCCCACTCCCCCTCCTTCTCTCGCTCTCTCTCTCTCTCTCTCTCTCTCTCTCTCTCTCTCTCTCTCTCTCTCTCTCTCTCTCTCTCTCTCTCTCTCTCTCTCGTTCCCTCTCCCCCCTCTCTCTCTCTCTCATTCTCCCGAGTCGAGCTTTGTGTGTGTAGGCAGACTTGTGTTTACCGCCATATTGCCAGGTGTGTATCTACCGCCATTTGAATCAACGAACAGTACAGCAGCATTGGTGTCTTCAACTTCATTTTACGTCGTAATATAACAAAGGTACTCTTGGTCGCAAGAGTTTCGATTGTACTTATTTTGTAATGCTTCACTAGCATGATCCAGAATTGTGTATGGTGCTGACTCTTCTTGATGCTAAAACTTCGATGATCGTCATCCGAATCTAAACTATATTTTTCATGATGACAGGGGATTTGGGAAATGCATGTGTGACGTCTGCAAACACTCTTCAAATGACACAAGAAATTCTGTAACATTTTGTGCAATTTGTTTTGCAATGACTACTGTGTAGTGGTGTGTGTGTGTGTGGGGGGGGGGGGGGGGTAAAGGCAGTGTGTGTGTGTGTACGTGCGCCTCCCCCCCCCCCCCCCCCCCGCGGCATTCTACAAGGAACACGTACACGCAGTCTCGCCATGAAGAAGACCAGCGTCGAGAATCTTGCCATCTGCCTGCAGTTCATCTGCCTTGATAGATACCTCCAATGCCTGGCTAGCAGAGACCGTTCACAAGCACACCCACCCACACCCATACCCCTCCCCCCCCCCCACACACACACGCACACACATGCACAATAACACACGCAAACGCACACACACGTACACACACACACACACACACAAACAGCAATGGGAAACAACACAGCAGAGGGTGACAGCAGCCGCACCTTGATATGCAAAAGTCAACCCAACCCAATAGAGCAAAGCCAGCGTTTGTCCTTGAACACAATCCTGCTAATCCGTGCGATCTGCTACGTACTTGAAGTACATAGAATACCTAGAATTGGGTATCAGTTGTCTAGGTAATCTGGGAACTCTCGCTATTGTGAAGTACATAGAATGTCGTGGTGAAACGAATATCCAAACCCAGTAGCCGAATATTCTTCGGCTTATCGAACGACCAAAGAAATATTCTTTCGTCAACACGGATGACATGGTGATGATGATGATGATGATGATGATGATTGTATTTTCCATTATGAGCCGGTCTTCTCCGATTGGTGGCCCCATGCCCCATGCTCATTGTGTTCAACTGCACTTTGCGTTCCTTTTTATATTGAGTTCCAGTGCACTTTGTGTTCATTTCCTCTCTTTTTTCATTCTATTTGAATTTTGATGTATTGCGTTTTTGCTCGCCCGTACAAGAGGCTGTTCAAATGATGATGATGATGATGTCACATCACATCATTCACATGCCCTCCTCTCAGTCTTTTGGATCGGATATTGTCACTACTATGAGACCACTAAAAGTAGGCAGAGTCATTGTACTACATGTAGTATACAATGTGCAAGTACGTGCATGCCATCATTGGCTGAGAACAAGAACAGCACCGTCAGACATCGGTGCTTGTATCGCCTTTAACACGAGGCCAAGGATTTATAATGATTGTAGTTGTACGCCTCGAGATGTGTCGCATGCGTTCAGAATATTACCTGCTTTGAGCAAGGACTCACAAGCACGAAACACACCCTTTAGAACTGGACAGGCCAACTTAACCCTTTACTGTCCGATTAAAATGTATACAAGCCCACGCAACCACAAAATCTGAAACTAAAATTAGACGTAACTTTGGTTTGAATTTGACGATTTCCACGATCTTGGGCATCCTGGAAAGATCTTGACGAGACGAACGCATTGAGCCCACACTCGGCGCCACAGGATGCACTGGTCCAGCGCTGCAAGCCAGGGAACGCGCAAAAGCGCAGAGCTCACGCTCGAGATCGATCTCAATCCACCATGTCACCCCTGTTGCTCGTATCGAGCTCAAATATTTTCGTAGAGACTCCCGGGAACCTACTTTTGAATTTGAATCGGTGTAGCCTTGCCAACAGGTGACGTAAACAGGGAAAATCCCAGCCGTCGACATGCGCGTCGCGCTCTGAATGCACATTTCCCGGGACCAGAATTACGAGTGCGATAACTCAGCAACCGCTCTTCGTATCGCTTCGGAAATTGTTCGAGGCGACAGCTGAGACTTTTCTCTTCGACCTACATATTTCGATCTCTCCAAAAGACCTAGATTTGAGCAAGTTACGATAATTTCAAAATGCCTACCCCATCGATCCCATTGGATCGATGCTTGTATGTACGGACAGTAAAGGGTTAAGAGCGGAACTTGATTCGAAAGTGGCAATTCAGGGGCAGCTCAACCACCACCGTCACCGCTACTAACTACGAGGAAAGATAGCCGTGAACCCACACGTTTAAAACACGCAGCTCAAAGATGGCGAGCCTACCTGCTCCTCCATTCACACCACTGGCTAGGTAACCTTCTACCATGAACCCGGCCACAGTTTCGGTTTACCCCGGCCTTGCAATATGCTCCAGTTACCACTGGAACACTGATACACGTTCTACCGTACTTCACCACATACATGCATAAGCGCGCTTGCTTATAAAAAAATAATAATGGGCTGCAAAAAAGATTTTTTGCTGTGTAAACATTACTAAACATGTCCGGGTAGAAGCACATGCGCTTATATGTGCAATAAGACGGTCTTTGTCCTAAACAATGGTGTCATCACACTACTTAGTAGCATTCAGCTCCCGGGTGTTTCACCAATGCTGTTCACATATAAGCACATGCGCTTATAATTGGGGTGTGTGCTATGTCCGGACATAAGCCCGTGCGCTTATATGTGCGGAAGGACGGCAAACAAACAGTGGACCAAGCGGCTACTTCAAAGTCGGGCGTTGTAACAGAACACTGACCTTAGTCCACTGGTTTGTAGTACTTGTAAGTTCTACCCCTGTAGCATTTGAGCACTCTGCATAGATTGGGTACATCCATTGTGTGTGGGACAGTGACAGATGTAGCCAAATGAAAAATCCAAACTAGTGTTTATTTCAAGTTTCACCACTGGAGTGCGTACCCTTATAGTGTTGAAAGTAGTTGTGACAGCAAAAGGACCATGACGTTACATACCCGAACTAGCGGCGACTCGGGCATTCCGCGATTTTGTTCCATCACGAATATCGAATGAACACCGGTGGGTCAGCTTGCAGCCACAGAAAAACAAACAATTAAAATATTTCGTATTATAAACAAGATAAGGGGTCGTCCATAATTATCGAACTTTTTTCACAAAACGAAATAATTTCGTTATGGGGTGGGAGGGGGTTGACCAATTTCGTTTCAGAAAACATTGATACATATGCATGCCCATAGGAGCAGTTACACACTTGCAACTTTTGTTGTATTATGCATGCATATGTCAAACTTTTTTTACGTTCTGAGGGGGAGGGAGGGAGGGGTTGGGTCTAAACTAAAATAATTCGTTTGGTGAAAAACGTTCGATAATTACGGACGGCCCCTAAAAGTTAGTTATTGTTTGTTGACAGTACCACTACCATGGGCCAGGGAGCTAGCCCTACACATACGTGTAATGTGTATTGTGTAGGGCTCCCTGGACAGTAATCTCCAGAGAATTTCAGAGTGAGAGTTATGTCTTTAGTTTAGGCTAGCCTACCTTAGGATTTGTGTGGCCGTTGTCGACGATAACCACTAACGTTGTGACTTCGTCGCGTTGCGTGCGCACCTCCAGTACCACAGCTACATATAACTGACAATAATAACTAGACCTACCATCCAAAAGGCAAAACTGGCAGAAACGATACAGCAGTTGTTTTATCTTCGCTTTTATACCAATGTCAATGATAACCAGGATGCATGCTAAATAAAATAGGCCTGCTGGCAGGTGAGCCTGATGTCAGTGATGTGGATTCGGAAGTGGGACTTTTTGAAATGACTTCCACGTGTAGCACGCTCTTGATCTCCAGTACACACTGCACTGGTACATGCGCGATCGATTGACACATGTTTTGTGCATGGTGTACGTGTGTATCTTACAAAAATCTTTTCGAGTTCACTTTCTTTCTCAGTTCGAAGCACATGATTGTGCACAAATCATACTGTTTTCAGACGAGCCAATTACTGTCTCTCTCAGATTTGTCAAATTGAATCACCCATTGCCCGAGAAGACGTTAATGATATATTCAAAGTACTAGTTGCCCGGCTCGGCGCTTGTTTTTCTGCGCCATGGCGCGTCGAAAATGGGAGACATTTCCTGGAAAAATGAGATTTTGCTGTGATGGACGCCTGATGTGTGGTCAAGATATCGGTGTATTTGCCTTCGCAATTGGCCTTATCACCGTTGCGTCAGGCGTGTTCTTTGGCTTTACGTGAGTAGGACTAACCCTAATCTCGGACCAATTGCACGACTGCGCACTACAAACTAGTGTGCTCCGAACAAGAACGATATAATGATACTGTGGTACATGTATCTGCAACACACTTCTGCTGAAAGCCGCCAGCGAATTAAAATGAACATTGATTTCTTCAGCACTTACTTCACCATGTTTTCGTTTCACGATACGCACTACTGTAAGGACATTTTAGCAGAATACAACTCTTGGGCAATTAATATGCCAATTATGCAGATTCAGTCATATTCTCAATTCGACACTGAAACTATGCATCGCAGATTACATTATAGTGATCTGTTAGTACGCCATCAAGAGTACATGAGCACCAAGAGTACATGAGCACCAAGAATACACAATTGAAATGTAATCTGCAGTGGATTTATTGTTTCACAAAGGGAGTCTTGAGCGAAACATCGTGTTGTTTAGTGATACTAATAGGGTTCGTCGCTAGCGACCCGATACAAATCCAAGTGTCGAGTGTTTATCATGGCATGCAGTGTCTGTTTAGGGTAGTGCACTCGTTTCTTTCTTGTCCGGGATCGGCCACTGCCCATAGCTTGGAAATATCCGTAACTCGGAATCACGTACATTTTAATGGGGAAGGGCCAGAGATCTGGCATATGACGCGTCACTATTTCCACGAAATTTGGCACAAAAGTAGTAATATTTCCACTAAAACTCACCCACAGGGTGCTCGGTAGACCGAGGTGGCTGTAACTTGGAGGCCCGGATAAGAGAGATATGGGTGTATGTATCTCGTGAAGAGTACATAACCCCAAGAGTGTGCAACTCTGATCTCCGAGCTATGAATGCCCTGCGCGGCGCACTGCCTTCATTAGGTAGTGAAATGACGATCCAGCTGCCTGGATTTGAGTTTTCTTAGGTCTAGCCTCAGTGGTTTCACGTGCAATATAGTAAGTTCGAAGACAATGCCTGTGCATGACGCATCACGTACGAAACCATCCGAAGTCTCCGAGGAAAGCGGATTTGGAATCATGAAACCGTAGCTGATCAATAATGACTCGATGGCCCACGGTTCGTGGCTACGTAATGCAGGCAGCGCGCCGCGCCAAACCCCATATGCAGCGGTGCATACTCTCGGGGTTATGTACTCTTGACCTCGTGCATGTACTGTCTGTGTAGAATAGTAATAGTATGTATGCCGTGCACGCGTTGTCTCCGTGTCTGTGTAGCGTAGTATGTATCTCGGGCACGTACCGCGGCACCTTCTTTGGATTGTAGTATCAGTGTCTGCTCCAGCGCCGGGTGAGCCGGGTAATCCACCCGGTTGGGCGGCGCTTGGACCCGGTTGAAAATATAGTACCGGGTCACCTGTGACCCGGTTGGTACACTTTCGAACTTTGAAAGGACTGACTAAATGGCTTGTATGTGTCAGATACTTCTTCTTCTTTCGTAATTTTCTAATTCCTGTCCTCTCTTTTCTAAATGCGGCTTATCCATTCGCCTTTATATCATTGGGCCTAGTTCCGGTTTATTGTCCGAATTAAAATAAACCAACCAACCAGGACGAGGTACATGTGTACCCGGCTCCGACCCGGTTGAAATGGTTGCGCCAGGTACACGTGTACCCGGCTGTGCTACAATCCCAGAGCAGACACTGAGTATGTATCTCGTGCACACACTGTCTGTGTAGTGTAGTAATAGCAGGTACCGTATTTTCCGGAGTACAAGCCGCACCCCCCATTTTTGTGCCACGAAATACGGACATCTATCCTATTTTTTAATTAATTATTTATCACCGTAATATGATCATCGGAGTTTAAGCCACACCCCCCATTTGAATTTGGAGTGTTCAAAGTGCGTCTTATACTCCGGAAAATACGGTATCTCGGGCATTCACCGTCTTTGTATTGTAGTATGCACGTCGGGCATGCACCAATGACGGCACGCACGATAGTTCAACTTGAAGCGCCCTTTAGGAATTTATTGCTATAAATCCCGGGGTGAGGGTCGGGGACTTTGAAGTTACTTGGGGTGGTATAAACATGTGAACCTTATAGCCCGGCCCTCAGTGCTGTTAGTAGTGTTAGTCCATGTTGTGCTGAGCTGTGCATACCGGTAACTAAGTTATTAGTGGTGGTACTGGTAATGCTGCCAGTGGCGGTAGTTAGCATGGTCTGATCGAGCTGGTGCAGCTACACCCACTCTTCCCTTCATCATTCGAAACTCTGCCTTGCCAAACTCCATGTGTGTGTGTGTGTGCGTGTGGTGTGTGTGTGTGTGTGTGTGTGTGTGTGTGTGTGTGTGTGTGTGTGTGGTGTGTGTGTGCAGTTGTCCGTATTTGTCCAGCAATGTCTCACCAGCCATCCCAGTGTTTGCTGGCGTGTTAATGCTAATGTCACTGGCAATGTTAGTTCGCACTGGCACCATGGACCCGGGCATACTGCCGAGGGCAACCGGACTAGAGGCAGAGGTGAACGAAACCGGCCGAAATCAAACAATAGGTGTGTTGTGAGACCAACATGCCCTGTACCCTCTGCGTGTCTGTCTCTCTTTCTGTCTGTCTGTCTGTCTGTCTCTCACTCTCTGTTTCTCTCTGTCTCTCTCTCTGTCTCTCTGTCCTTGTCTCTCTCTGTCTCTGTCTCTCTTTCTTCCTCTCTCCTTTCTCTCTCTCGGTCTGTTAAAGTACTATAATAGCATGCATACAATCACACATGTATAGGATTGACCATAAGCTGAGATCTCATGCACAGTTGTGCCGCCACTGCTATCGCTGGCACTGCTACTGCTATCACGCCACTGCTGCTGCCACTGTTGCTGTTGCTACTGCTGCTATCGCCACCACTGTAACTCTGTTGTTTTGCCTTTTGTTGACCAGGTGCAGATGACCAGCCGCGGCCGGCAAGTGAGGGCTACACACCTCCAGCTAGGACCAAGATGGTCACCATACAGAACATGGAGGGAACGGTAGAGGTGGAGCGAATGCTCAAGTACTGCTTCACGTGCAAGATATTCCGGCCGCCACGCGCGTCCCACTGCAGCATTTGCGATGCATGTGTCGGTGAGTTCCCGACTGCTCATGTGCACTTTGGTTGGAACTTGGAACGTAACTCAACTGTCGTGTGTAACATGTCAGGCCGTGATTCATTCTATTGTGATGCTCGGACTGCAGTATTTCCTGCTACACAGAACCATGCTTTAAAAGAGATTGATGGGCGAACTCATCCCAAATTTCCCACTATGCGGCGTGCTGCATGTTGATCACATACATGTATGCATGTTTTGTATGAATGTGTGTGTGTGTGTGTGCACGTGTGTATGTGTGTTTGTTTGTGTGTGTGTGTGTGTGTGTGTGTGTGTGTGCGTGTGTGTGCGTGTGTGTGCATGAATGTGAACTATTTCTTGTTTTGATACATGGCGGTGTGGACCAATGGCCATATCACCTGCAATCTAGACCAGTTTGATCATCACTGTCCATGGGTAAGGTACTGTTCGGTTTACTACAGTCGAATCCTGATTATTATAACGAGCACCATTGTGCACGAGAATTACTAGTAATTCTATATTGGAGGAGTTCTTGATAGCAGGAATGCACTCACGCCATGCAAGCACCAATGGCCATGGCTGTATGAGTGCGCTTGGTTATCCCCAAGAAGAATTGGTTCGTTATAAGCGGAAATGGTTTGTTACAAAGGGTCAATGTTGTATGGTTCAAATAGGGACATGGACACTGGTTCGCTAAATTTAATTTACTGTTGTACCAGGATGTACCGCGAAATGCGCAATAATTATTATATAAGTTTAGTCGACTATAGTAGCTAAAACTGAGCCAAGTTTGATCTGTCACGGATGGTAGCTGAAGACAGTAACACTGTACACGTTCGATCTGTCACGGATGGTAGCTGAAGACAGTAACACTGTACCCAATCCTCAGTTTTCTCACTCGATTCAGTGTCCTCCCGCCTGGCAGTCGAATCTCAGGACACAGAGCCCATCACTCCTTTTCTACTCGGATGTTTCTCTCGACTGGTGTTGAATGGAACAGTTAAGTGTAATACAGGTTACAGTCAGAGCAAAGACTTGTTGAAGACAGTCTTGCAGCTACCTTTGGGATAGGAATGTAGATAATGTATACTTCACCTGCCATAATCCCCTGCACAGCATGTACTCTGCGCTAATACTTATCATGTGTGGGCGGTTGGGTGATTATTGTGTTTGTGTCTGTATAATGTATGTGCATGTGTTTGGATTCTCTTTGAAAATGGCTTGCAGGTAGGCAACTGTGTTGGTCGTCGTAACTACCGCTACTTCTATGGCTTCTTGGCCACTCTGTCCTTGTACTGCATCTATGTGCTGGCTTTTGGTATTCTGCACCTGGTGTTGTGTGAGTACCTCTACAACATTTTACACTGGAGTTACTACCAATAGTTAGTACAGTTGCAGTTACTAGCATCTGCTTTTGCTTCGTTCTCTGTGTTCACCTGTGTTTGAGTGGTGATGGTGGTGATGAGGGGTAGCAGTATCTGGGGGTTTGTTGCTCCTTATCACCTGTTTCTGTGCGCACACCAGTCCATGTGCTCTGCTGCTTTCTCTCTCTCTCTCTCTCTCTCTCTCTCTCTCTCTCTCTCTCTCTCTCTCTCTCTCTCTCTCTCTCTCTCTCTCTCTCTCTCTCTCTCTCTCTCTCTCTCTCTCTCTCTCTCTGTCTCTCTCTCTCTCTCTCTCTCTCTCTCTCTCTCTCTCTCTCTCTCTCTCTCTCTCTCTCTCTCTCTCTCTCCTCTCTCTCTCTCTGTCTCTCTCTCTCTCTCTCTTCTCTCTCTCTCTCTCTCTCTC